ATTATATCTTGGGTTCAAGTAACTAGATGTAATTAAACTACATTTTACACGCTCATTTCGATACCATTTAGGACATTAATTACTCTGCCAGCATCTGTTTTATCATTGTTTTTTGTACACTTTTAATTACTGTGAATAAAATATTTTTAATACTTTTTTATACATACTGAATTACAGTTTCACTTGTGTTATGATATCTGAGATAGTAAATGACTGAGATTAATATTTGTTCGGAGTTAGGGCCGGGCTTGATATAATATAGCCAGGGCCAGGGCCGGGTTTGTGACCGGGGCTGCATCAACATTTATACATCCTAAAGTTTGTTTTTTATTCAAAATTCATGCTATATTTTGTATATATATGCATATATAAACATCATTATGAACAACATGATCATCATAATCATCATTATTATCATCATCATGATGATATGATCATCATCAGTATTATTATCATCATTATCCTATTATATGCTGTTTCTCTGATATAAACAATCTACAGCATTTTTTTTCTTTACTACAAGCTCATTCATACAGTATGTAAGGCAATCTCTTTATGTTTTTTTACTTTTACCACTTCCATTTTCTCTACATGCTGATACCTAAATTACTTTAATCTTTTCCAAGAAATGTTGTTTGATACAAGGTTTTTTTTAGTCTGTGTAAGATTATGCCTCTTTTTCTTGTCTTGCTAGAGTTACACCACACATTCATCTGATCATCTTCTCTTTCGACAAATACTACATCATAAAAATACTAAAGGTTATATAACAATAAAAGGATATTGTATGCCAGCATCTAAATAAATAGCAAACATATATGTTTATATATGTTTGCTAAATATATAAATATATAGCAAACATATATGATTATATATATTATAAGTGCATCTTAGAAGCTTTTATTCCTTCTGGAAAAGTTTTGAAGCTTTTATTACTTTTTTCAATTTCAAGTCTAGACTCATTCTACTCCACATTTTTCACCATCTTGAGCAGTTGCTTTAATAAACATAAATCATTTTTTTCATTTTTACAAAAACATCTCTCTTAATAACAAATGCACTTTTATTATTGCAAGAAGCTAATGTAAAAAAGTCCTGTCTGATGTTAGGCTCTGTTATTCTCAGTTTACTAAATCTTGTATCTTATCTCAGATGTTAGATTCTAGAGACTTTTGGTTAGTCTTCAACAGTGTCAATTCATGGGTCTGATCTTTTTACTTCTCCCCAGAATAAAGCAGAGTTATTTACAAAGAAATTTTACTCTAATTTTACTCTTGAATATAATGGCCATACTCTTTCTCACAGTTAACCAGGTTAACCCATTGTAAAACATCCAAATCACTCTGGCTTCCAATGCTAAAGTTAATTCTTAATTAAACACTTCTACAGTTTGTGTTCCAGAATAGATTTCCATCATAGTCTTAATAAAGTGTTCTCCAGAATTCTCTTCAATTTTTGCTAAACTAAAAAACACTTTGACCTCTCCAACTATCCAACAACTAGTCTTCACCCTGTTATTAGTTTCTTTATATAAAGGTTTTGAGATAATTAAATTATTTTTTTCTAACTGCAGTAGTAAAGTTATTCTTGAAGGCTTACCCTCTTCTTTATTTTAAGCAGCTTTAAGGGTACCACAAGGTTCTATCTTTGCTCCTGTATTGTTTCTTATCTACAATAGCAATAGGGTTTAAAAATATATGAATGTATACCAGTATTTAATAAATAGTAAATGTAAGCATAAAATTATAATATATTATTATAAATTTTTTTCTAGCCCTGACTGTCAACCCCTGCTAAATCTTACAATTTTGCCATTTTGCCAATTTTACAAATATTTACAAATTTTGCCATTGCCAATTTTACAAATTTGGTCGGGGTCCCAGTCACTTACTAATCTGACGATCATTGAAACATCTATAATCATTTCTTTCATCTTTTCCTCATTTAATGCACTCGAAAGAATATATTTACTGTTTTTTTTTTTATCAATATGTGCTGCTGTATGTATGTATCTTGGTAATCTATTTACTTACTATTGCTTGTCGCTGGATAAATATTTAAACTTTCATGTTCCATGTAAGGATCATAATGCTTTCTAAATAAATGTTGTCATATGTTCTGCAACAACCACCTTGTCTGCAAGGAGTTTTAAAATTTTGTGCTGACAAAATATTATAGCAATAATAAAAATGTTTCAAAAGATTATTTACAGTCTGTATTGATTCTAAAATTGACTCACAAAATACACAAAATTACCCATTGTGTAAAAAAAAAACTAATGAAAAATGCTAGCACAATTTAAAACTATATAGTTTGCATAAAAATAAATTTCAAAAATAAAATTAAAGTATAATATAAATATTTATTAGTATTCCTAATTCTATTAAGTATCATTAATTTGAAAATTTACACAACTTTTAATTTTAAATCAATTTTAAAATTTACATAATTTTTAAGGTATCCAAAATTTTGATTTTAAGTTTTGACTTCTCAAAACTCCATCTCTTAGCTTCTAGGGGTGCGTTTTATGAAAATTTTTAACACAAATCTCCTTTCAACAAAAAAAAAATAGTATTTGCATTTAATTCATGCGCTTTAAAATAATATTTTTTAAATTTAATATTAACTTGTGTCTAATGAAAGCAACACAAGATTAAGTGTAAAAACGCATTGTAAATGTAGTTGCATCGGCTCTTTCTGCAAAACTTGTGCTACTCTCCCATCGTCATAAGTTCGCATCTCTTTTTTTTCTTCTACAAATCATGGTTGCTGTTCAAATTAGCTATATTTATAATATATGTATATTATCTCTATTTTGATCATTCAAAACTCATTCTTGTATGACTTTTCATAGGAAAAGTTGCAAAATATCTCTTACGTTCACTGTCCCTTTACACTCTAAAAACTTTTATTCATCTAGTTTTTTTACCTTGCACATCAATGCTTTGAAATTCTCTCCCATCTTCATATTTTCCTGACCCATACAATCTACAACTTTTTATGTCTTCGTCAACTGTTTCCTTGCTCTGAAACACTATATTTTGTCTAGTAACTCCCAACTTAATAATGGTTGCTTGCAGCCTTTTTGGGAGTAAATTAGAATAAGCAATATTGGGTAGTAGCAATTATTGGGCGGCTTTAATACTCATTGCACTGAATGGCTTCTAGTACTACTAATCTTACTTGTTCTAAACCTCAAAGTTTTTTTTTTTTTTTTTATCAATCTCTTATTCCAATAGTTAACTTTTGTTACTATTGACTGTTTTTTCAACAATCCCAATCACTTTTTTATATTCCTTAATTTGTGTTTTCTCTTTAACTTGAGCTTGTCCTGATTATACTATTATCTAATTAAAAGTTTCGTCTTTTGCTTCATCTACATGCTACCATACTGCTTCCATACTGCCACCATACTGCTACCATACTGCTACTGGAGTTCTTTTTATAATCTTTTTTATTATTGTCCTGGAGCTTATATCTTTTGTCTTTTTGCCAAAAATTGCGTCTTCACTTTATTCTTATGTATTCAGCCAGGTATGATAACTTTTATTATTTCTTATGTTCTAGAGGATTTTAGAAATTTTGAGTAAGTTTATGGAATGTTAGAAAAATTCCTTTTAAAAAAGCAATTTTAATATTCCACCTTTTATACATGGTCTGATCTTGTTACCACTCCTAATGATGAGGCACAACAATTTGCAAAAGAACTTTTTCACCAATTCCGTTTAATTAAACTGTTCCTTCAAACTCAAAATCTTTTATATAGTTTTTTCCTCAAACATTGTTACTTCGGAATTTTCTCACGTCCATATCTTTTCATGGGTCTTACAATTTACAGTTTTTCACGTCTTCCGTTAACTGCTTTATTGATCTTTTTTTTCTTCTTTTTGTTTACTTTCTGTTAACAACCGACTTGAATCATTAGGTGAATTTTGAGTGTTTAAGTGATTCAGTAAAAAAAATGTTTTAGATTGTGATATTAATCCAAATCTTTACAAAGAAGCAAAAACTAAACTTATAATTAAAGAAATATTCTTTAAAAGTATAAAAATAAATTAAAAAGCTAGATATTTCGAACTATTTATTATCAACTTGATTAGAGAATTTGTTAAATTTTATAGGGTTCTAAATCCATTTTATACACGCTATAAATTTTTGCACGTTATAAAGAATTTTTTTTTCTCTCGCTAGAATGTTTATAACAAAATTAGCGAGTGAAAACTAATTAATAAATCCAAACTTTATAAAGAAAAAATTATAATACTTACATCTAATGCAGTATTTATAAAGGAAATAGATCTTACTGTTATAAATTGATAAATATATTATATAATAATATATTTATATAACTAAATATATATTATTATATATTTATATAGATAAAAATATTATTTATAATAAAATATTATTCTACATCCATATCTCAACAATATATAATCTGCAAGTTATATATTGTTGAGATACGGATGTAGAATAAATATATTACTCCTTTAGAATTTAGATCAGGACTGTGTTGGATTTCTTTTGGTCTTAGAGAAATCCATACAAATTATTGGTTGCTCCTTCATATGGTGTCCTATAAAAACACAAAAATACCATTTATCATAGGACAATTCTACAAAACTTGAAAACAGAATTTTGTGCAGTTCCTAAACCTAAAAGAATTCTTATAAGATTTATTCAATAAGGTTAATAATCTTATCGAATAAATTTTATAAAAATTCTTTTAGTTTTAGGAACTGCACAAAATTCTGTTTTTAAGTTTTATAGAATTGTCCTATGATAAATGGTATTTTTGTGTTTTTATAGGACACCATATGAAGCAACTAATAATTTGTGTTGGACTTCTCTTTTCAGTTCCAATATCTTATAGTAATGTCATATATAGTTTTTATTAAAATTTTTTATAGAGTATTTTTGACTAGAGTAGAATACAAACAGTAAAAAAATTTTTGACGCTCATGATCTATTATTGTATGAAATGTTTTTTTTATTTTAAGATACGAGGAACCCAACTCTTGGAGAATATCAAGAGCTTACAGAATGCGATAATAGAAATTCCTGAAAGTTGTCAAATTATCAATTAAAACCTTATTACAATAAATTTTTTTTTGCTTTTTTGTCTTTTTTTGATTTTATTATTTATTTTGCGAAACTAAAGTAAAATAGTCTAGTATAAGTTACTTGTAAGTATAGGCTTATTATTATTATTATTAGTACCTTATATTTATAAGGTACCTTAAAACCATTAATTAAAAAATAAAACATGGTTAACAAAATTTTCGTAGTTAACAATAAATTTATTTATTTATTGAACAACAATAATAATGTTGCTTAATGATATTATTTTAACGATATTTATTTTGTTGATAAACAACATTAAATTTTAAACATTTAAATTTGAATTTAAATAAAATTAAATATTAAAAACGCAAATTTTTATGTATTAAATTAACAAGAAACTTCCCCAAAAGCTCCTTTTTTAAAAAAAAAAAATTGTGATTACTACCCTCTCTCAACTTTTTAACTTCAAAACACGATGCGTGACTAACATGATTGCTGCGCGGAGAAACAAGTTAAGTGCGGTACAACCAGGGGCGTGGTGAAGTCAAATTTGGAACTTCTTGGTTTAAAATGCGATCGCATTGTAAATTGCTCGAGCGCTCTATCACTATACCATCATCGCATTAATAGTGGTTTATATTATTCATACATTACTAATACAAATTTAACTATTTTTAGCATCTCCTATACAACAGTGAAAATAAATAAAAAAACATAAAAAAATTCTTGTTTGATGCTTTAATTAATATTATTTTTTATATTAGTTCTCCAAATTAGAAATGTTACAAGCAGACTGATGCAAAATAAGATACTGTCTAGTTTTCAACTTTCATAAGTAGAGTTGAAACTGGGGGAGTAAGCAACATAGACGGTTTGATGAAGTTCAGTTTCATTAAGAATCTGAGATTCAAAATCTATGAAAACTTTAGCCATCTAAATTTGTAAAAACACTTCGCTGGCTTGCATGCCGTAATCCTATTTTAGAATTATTTTTTGAGTCATTTAAAAACCTTTATTTTAAAAACAGACAACAATTATACATTTATACATTTGTATAAATGTTATACATTTTTAAATTATTAAAATCAAATTGATTCGCTAGAGAATTTTTTCAATTGCAACTTCCAATAGTTCTTTTGGTATCAAAAAATCTTTCTTAAATAAAATGCAAATTGCTTTTTTTTTAAGAAAAAGTACATTTTAAGTATCAAACATAGGACAATAATTTTCCCATAATTTATATACAAATAAAATCTTATAATTGTTTTAAGATGCTGTTTAATTTTAAATTTTCCGACCGGGAGAGATGTGTTTTTATCTTAGGGGACAATTTAACTTCATTCAAAAATGTCGCATATTTTTAAAAATATATTCGCAAAGGATTCAAAATGTCATATTTTGAAGTCTAATAGGGCAACTTGTCATTAAACAAGAATTGTTGGCTGTGTGATTTGAAAACAAACTGCTGAAAAATTGAATAATATAAGTAAGCCTATATAGACAGTAGACGATCAAACAGCTTGAAGAATTTTAAATTTTTAGAAAAATAAATGAACAAATTTAAAAAAAAAACATTCTGGTATATCATATAGATAGCGAATTTAGGGGTGAGTGGACGTGTGTTTATGTTTCCCCCTCCCCAAAAATAAATGATTTTTAATAAATGATCGTTAGAGTATTTTGACGAATTTAGTCGCTAGTCGGGTATTTGATACAGTTATAGACATTCTAATATGACCATATCCTTTATATAAAAGAAATTAGAAAAAGAAAAGTAAATTAAAAAAGCAAATTTAGAAAATAAGGAAGCAAGAGTCTGAAATAAAGCGGCAAATGTAAAAACTTTTATATAAAAGTTTTTTTCATTTGTTAATTAATTAATTAACAAAATTCATTGATATAAAGTATCGGACAAAACAAGTGAAACCAAATATTGCTAATTTAGTTTCTTTATATAAAAGGGCTGCATTTTTTCAATTTAGAGAAACAACTATGTAACTTTTTAGAGACAACGTTCTTCAAGTTTTATTCATCACAAAGTTGAAAAGTATTAAAAAAAAGTTGATTTCCTTCTGGACAAAACAAGTGCAACTCCACAAAATGATGACCAAGCTGTATTTTGCTATCAATATTTTGTGGCAAATCCTTTGTTGTCGATCACATCTTCAAGGCATAGATTCAATCAGGTGATCAATGAAACTTTGTGGAATCGCTGCCCAGGCCTTTTGGATTTGTTCAAAAAGTTGATCCTTATTTCGAACACCTTCACGATTAATTCTGCGGTTGACAATCTCCCACAGGTTCTCTATAGGGTTGAGATCCGGAGATTGAGGCGGCCAATCCATCACCGATAGGTGGTTTTCTTGAAACCACTGCCTGACTACTTTTGCAGTGTGTTTCGGATCGTTGCCTTGCTGAAAAACCCATTTCATTGGCATATTCCATTCAGCATGAGGTAACATAACATCTTTCAGGATATTTTTATATATGAAACGGTCCATTATTCCATCGTTTTGATGTACTGGACCTAGACTGCTAGCAGAAAAACACCCCCAGACCATTACATTGCCTCCACCATGCTTCATGGTCTTATGGCAGTAACGTTAATTGAGGCGTTTTCCGGCAGTCGACGTACACGGCAAATGCAATCGCTCCCAATGATGTTGAACTTCGATTCATTACTGAACAGGACAGTTAGCCATTTCTGCACATTCTAGTTAATATGAGATGTAGCAAACAGGAGTTTTTTTTTCTGGTTCTTTAGTGAAATCAGCGGTTTCATTGCAGGATTCTGGATGCTTCTAAATGTTTCTGGATACTTCTGGATGCTTCTGGATGCTTTTAGATGTTTCTTCTGAAAACTTCTGGAAGCTTTTGCATGCTTCTGGAAACTTCTGAAAACTTCTGGATACTTCCTTTAGTTATTAAAAAACTTCCGTGACGTTGGCACGGACCAGACTTAAGAAAATGAAACAAACCAAAAAAGTTGCACTTGTTTTGTCCGCTGCAAAATGGCACTTGTCGAAAAAATTCTGCCTGTGTGCTGTCACCTGTCAGCTGATTGCTCATGTCATGGCATGCTATGACTCCAGACTCCTGAAATGTTTGCTGTGGTAGTATAGTTTGTTTCGTTTTTAAGAAATGTAAAATTAGGAACACTTTTTAGCATTGTTGATGTTGGTTGCCAATGTTTTGTCCAATACTGTATCAATAAATTTTGCTAGAACCAATCATGCTTTTTATTTAACAGCAAATTCATTTTTATGTTACCATGTTGCAAATGATGCATGAGAAGAATAATTAGTTACAATAAATTAGGCATTAACAAAAACTGGATTTTTATTTTTTTGCTAATTCTTATTTATATGGTTTAACTTTCAGTTGTACTTTTCCCACAAATATGCCACCTCAGTGAAGTTTTTAAGAAATATTTAACGGTTAGAGATTATTGTTATTTAATTCCAAACGACCAAACGAAAGTACTTCTTTTTTTACGAATCAAATATGGACTACTTTAACAGAGAGAATCTTTGCTGATTAGTTGTTTAAGTAACTCACCCCATCTTTTGTAACAAAAAATGGGGCGAGTTACTTAAACAACTAATGAACTAATAGGCAGTATGAACAACTTCCGTTGCTTCATACTGCTCAAAATATTTAGTTGTAAGAATAAATGCCTAATTCTCGGCATAGAGCGCGTATTGACTGCATAGGTATGCAAATCGTTTAGTCTTTAACAGAAAATCTATAAACTTCAAACCCAATACTACGTTTAATTTTATATCTCATTGTAAAAATATTTTTCTTTAAAAAACAAAATTCGGCTTTTAAACAATTATCTAGATAAAAAGAATTATAGTTTCAAATGACAAGTTTAATTTTTCAAAATATTTATGCTGTATAATAATAAAAGTTCTTCATCATCAAAGTATTAGTCAAATGCTTAAAATAGAATACTTTATATTTTTTTAAGCTAGCCATAAAAATTTTATTATAACAGCAACTACAAACAACCACGGAAAAATGTCACCGTTATCACAGCTTATTTTATGGAACATAAAATAATGAATAACACCGACGCCAACTTTATAACTAAAAACTTTGCCGATGTTATATAAAACCTTATCGATGTTTTATATCTCTAATATGGAAATTTCATCTTACACAGCTATCTGTTACACGCCAATATAGCATGAGCAGGTACCCATAAAACTAAATTAGGTTCTTTCAATAGATAACAAAAACTCGCTCCTAGAGTCATACTTTTAAAAAGCAAGCTTATAAGCTTGAGTGAGCTTAAAAGCTTTTCATGAGTATACTTTTGAAATCCCATTACAGTTTATGTTCAAAAAAAAAAATGAGAAATCATCCAAGTCGATTTATAAATAACTTTTTTAAAACTAATATAAATAAACTTAGCTCTAGAGCAACTATAAACTATATTTAGTACCCTTGAAAAAATAAAATTATCCGAATTCTATATAGCGTATTGCGATCCGTGCCTGTATAACAAAGTTATGTGAAAAAACTCCCACCTATCTCTTCTGAAAAATATTAACTCCTTAAAAGCTAATCTAAAAAATCTTATTTTAGATTTAAACAACTATATGGAATTGTTCAATATCTTATAAGTAATTAAAATACAAAAAATATTTTTAAAAATAGTACAAATTTAAATATATAGACAAGTAAGTAAAAACTTAAATACATAAGCAAAGTTTTGTATGTATATATTGTATGTATATACAATATATATTATAATATAATAAAATATATTGTATGTATATATGTATATACATTATAAATATATATATATATATATATATATATATATATATATATATATATATATATATATATATATATATATATATATATATATATATATATATATGTATATATGTATATATGTATATATGTATATATGTATATATATATATATATATATATATATATATATATATATATATATATATATATATATATATATATATATATACATATATACATACAAAACTATGAAAATACATACTATGTATACTCTGAATACATAG